ACACGCACACACACAGACACGCACACACACACACACAGACATGTCGATGACGTTTTTGTGCGTTTCCGCTGGCAGAGAGAAGAGGTCGAAAGACAAAGCTTGTGCATCATGTCGATGTCGGTAGCACAGGTGGCGAAGGCTCTCACAGAGGTGATGAAGTATGCAGAGGAGGGCTTCCACTACAACGGCCGTGGCGAGTTGTCTTTGTTGGAGGAAAGGGTGTCGGGGTACTTTGCTGTTACCGTGGATATGAGATCCACGATCATGGCCAACGGCAGTGGTTGTGTGCAGGCACGAACACTCTTGGAACGATTGAGAGAGTCACCTGATATTCGTGTGGAGAGCGACGCGGAAGACAACCCATACAGTCTAAAAGGAGTTGTGCAGTGGATGTGCAGCGAAGGCATGTGCGACGAAGGACAATGCAGCAGAAAGGGGGGACCTATACACCTGTGGCTTTCAGGAAGTTTATGGTGAGTGTGGCGAAGGGATGGGACATGCTTGTTGAAGGGGCGAGCGACGAGTTGAAGAGGGGTGCTGCAGAAATACTAGTGCTGTCCAGAATCAAGGACATGACACAAACACTGCCCCAGGACTTTCAAGAGTTTTCCGTGATTGTTGCAGACGGTGTGGAATACGTTCTGCTTGATCAGCTATGTGACCTCATGAACAAGACAGAGGATGACAGGAACATCATTCATGAGGCCTTGCACGAAGTCACAGAGTAAGCCGTGCAGGGTCGAGATCTCATTGATTTTGTGCCAGCGTCAGCAGGAGAGGAGATCATTAGTGGCAGACCATTGTGGGGGGGTTTGTTGGGTTGTGCTCTGGAGCGGCTTGGTCTTGCAACCTGCGATGTCGAGAGACAGAGAGAAAGGGAAGAGGGTTGGAGGCTGATTGTCAGCGAAACAAGGTTACCGGTCATTGAAGAAACCGGGGAGACATCAGCAGCATAAGATACGAGTAGAACGATGGTGGTCGACGTGTCTACCATGCACACATCAACGACAGAGGACTTGGTGTATATGGACATGTATGAGGGTTTCTTCTTAGCGGAACAACAGTTGGCAGAGCGCAGAGACGATGCAGAGCACAGAGATGATGCAGAGGAGGAGTATGAGGAAGAGTACGAGGGGTCTGACGTGGAGGTGAGCGGCAGCGACGTCAGCAGCGACGAAGAGGACGACGACAATGATGTGTACTATGATCTCAAGACGGCCTGTGGACAAGTAACCAAAGGTTGGGCACATGCAATCCTCAGGTTGGCACGAGTATTTTTCGATCCGCACAACGTGCTGCGTGTGGTGTTCAAGGGGGCGACACCTGATGGCGCAATGCAATATGCTGCAGTGACCAGCATAGTGCAATCCTACAACAAGGGGAAAAAATGGTCACGTGTCGGCAAGGGATGGTTTGTTCTGGTGAACAGAGAGGCTGTGCTAGCAACATCGCTGACATGGGGACTGAACCTGAGCTGCCTCCTGCATGGCGCAGTGGCCACAGCTTGGGGAGAGACTTTGCACCCCGGCTTGTCAACAGGGGACACAATAGTTAGTGCTCGGCCACGGCACCACACACACMCACACCCACACAGCACGACAGACCACGTCAGACATCAGGGATGATGCCACACATGCATAGGTCATGGCATTACAGTTGTTGTACAAACAACCTGTGTGGGTGTGTCTACACATAGATTGCTCAACCTGTACATCCCTCTCCCTCCCCCTCAGTTTGAACAACCCTCGGGCTGACTACTGTGTACCATATTCGTGTTCACCGGTGTTCTCTGTCAGAGTATAGGGCCGGACTAGTCTCTCTCTCTCTCTCTCTCTCTCTCTCTCTCTCTAGTTGTAGGTTTAGTTGAACCTGTATCTCCCCCACAGGTTTACGACAGCGTGCAGACACTGCATGTTTCTTTCTTTCATGCAGTTCATTATTGTTACGATGTTTGTCATTCCAGGTTGCTTTCTGGGGCGCTTAAGACTCATCAGACCGCCCCCTCTGAGGACTATTGCGTGTTTCGTGTGTGATTCTGTATTTTTTTTTTTTTTTT